GTCCGCTGCCTTCATATCAGGCGACAGAGAACTGTATAAGAAATCAAGGAAGGACCTGGAGAAAGCCATTAAACTGGCAAAACAGGAATACAACAGGGACAAATGAGAGAAACAGCTTGGGCGGTGACTCGAGGTGCATGTGTCACGAGCGACAAAGGCAACACCAGGGGTATTTCCTCCACGGAAGCATCTCTACAACATGAGCTGAACACCTTTCACTTCTTTTTTGAGGCTTAGAACACCGAGCTGCTATCAAGGCTCCCTGTGAACCAGGGGACTTTGTGTTACAGCTCTCTAAACAAGAGGTGTGTAGAGCCTTTAAGAGAGTGAAAACTTGTAAAGCAGCCGGCCCAGATGGCGTCTCCCCTCTTGTCCTTAAAACCTGTGCAGACCAGCGATCTCCTGTGTAAACAGACATTTTTAACCTCTCTCTGTCCCTGGCAGTTGTACCAGAGTGCTTTAAGAAGACCACAACTGTGCCACTGCCCAAGAAGACCAAGGTAACCTGCTTGAACGAGTACCGCCCAGTGCTCTCACTTCAGTGGTCATGAGGAGCCTGGAAAGCCGAGTATTGTCCCATATAAAGTGCTCTAGTCCAGACTCCCTTGACGATGCCATATCTCTACCACTACATACTTCCCTAGAATATTTAGACGGACAGGGCACCTATGTTAGGCTGCTGCTTATATATTACAGCTCGGCCTTCAACACAATTGTTCCTACCAAGCTGGTCCTAAAATTCAGGAATCTGGGTTTATGCAACTCCATCTGCAACTGGATACTGGATTTCCTGACAGGCAGACCTCAGGTGGTGAAAATTGGCAACAATATCACCTCTACAGCGATCCTAAACACTGGAGCCCCACAGGGCTGCTGTCTCAGTCCTAGGCTATACTCCTTGTACGACAGGACAGCCACTTACAGCAGCAACCACATCATTACGTTTGCAGATGACACGACCATTATTGGGCTGATCAACAACAAAGATGAGTCTGCATATAGGAGTGAGGTGGAGCATCTTACAATCTGGCCCTGAATGTCAACAAGACAAAATAAAACTCATTGTGGACTTGAGGACACCCAGAGGGAGTCATGCCCCAATTAATGGCACAGCAGTGAAAACTGTCAGCTGCTTCAGGTTCCTCGGCCTGCAGATCTGCACTGACCTGGCTTGGAGTCACAACACTGTAGCCAGTCTGAAAAAGGCACAACAGCGCCTGCACTTTCTGTGATGTTTAATGAAATGTGGTTTGGGGAAGCAGTTCCTCATTAACTTTTACCACAACACCATAGAAAGTGTCCTCACTATGTGGTACAGCAATACTACCACGCATGACAGAGACTACAAAGGATTGTGGCAACAGCACAGAGGATTATAGGTGGTGATTTACCATCAATCAGTGAGATCCACACCGTCGGCTGTCGCCATAAAGCCCAATCCATCACTCAGGATCCCAACCATCCCGGCCACAAACTGTTCTCCCCCCTGCCCTCTGGCAAGCGGTACAGCACTGTTAAAGCTGGACCACTAGACTCAAGAACAGCTTCTATCCCACTGCAGTGAGCATCCTCAACAACAGCTAACTGCAGGGCCTTAATACACATCTGCACTACGCACTTTTTACACCATTTTATTTTGTTTTTTTGGTCTCACTTCTACATATTTATTTTTCCACAACACATTTATTGTCCGTGTCTACATTGCGCGGTGTTGTCTGTTGTACTGTGTGTGTCCCGAGAGATCAGAGTGATTAAGAATTCCAATGTTTTTGTAAGTATGGCAATAAACTACTCTGCTCTTCTGGAGTGACTTGCCTTTCCCAGAGCAAACAACCCCAACTTGCTGAGCCAAACGAAAACCTAAGAGAGGCGTCTCTCTGACTCTCTGCCATCCCTTCTGTGGTTTATGCTTCCACTCTTTTCTGCCTTAATGAGGATGTTCAGATGGGCCGTGTGGGTTGGCCAGCGGGGGTCACCTTCCGCCCCCTGCTCTCGATCGGGTGCGCGCTGCGTGGGCCGCAAGGCCAGCGCTCATCTGACTCACACCGCTGAAGACACAGCCTCAGTCGGACACTCGGGCACCCACCGAGACTTGCAGGTTTTCCCACCACTTTTCTCTCTTCACGAAACAAAGCAGGAGAGAATGAGGGGGGGGGGAAAATCAATACCCTGCCTGATGACAAAAGGCGAGCACGAGTTCAAATGAAAAACACTTCCCTTCCTGCACAATCGCTTAGCCCACCTGGTCGGCGCAAGGGAGCCGAGCAGTTAAAGAGACAGGACCGTAGAGAGATGGGGGATCACAGCAACGTGCTATAAGGAAGTCTCTCCCCCATTCAATAGGAATCATTTGATGACACCTTTTCAAACAACAGGTCACTCGCCCCATCAGATGGAAGGCCATTAATAGTGAGGCAAGATATCACATTACAGGCTGTTATTCATTTAGCGCTGAGTGAGAGGTTTGTGTTGAACGCCCTCTGGAAACAACCCCATCGGGACAGATCCCGGAGGAAACTAGCCATCACAGACAAGCACCGTCCCTCCCACAGCAGCGTGAGCCAGTGACTCAGGCCTGGCGTACTCCGACAAGTAAAAAACAAAAAACACCCAACGGGGGAGAGTACACCCATCGATCTTCCTGGGCATTTATTATCTCGTCACGCCAGCCCTGCTGCTGCTGCGCTGCCGTTTTAATTAAAACCAGATCAGCGGTGGTGAAACCTGAAACAGTGTTTATGCGAAGAGCTCCTTCCCTCTCGCCTGGTGAGTCAGCTTCCTTCATCTCTGCCCCCGGAGCCCTGATCAATCAATACCACGCACTGTGCACGAACTGAGCCCCACTTACATGAAATGCCCAGAATGTGGCCCTGAATTCCAAGAGCTGCACAGAAAACGGGGGGCACTATTATTCTTGTCCCCGGCACGCTTACTTTTTTTTCCCAACTCTGACAGCTGTTTTTCCCCGTTTAAGTTGTTGATCACGTCCGTTGACGTCACTCTGAACGAGGAGGAGTGAGGAGGAGTGGCTGGAAGTTAATCAGCTCAGAAGTCGATGATTGTGGGTTCAGATCCCAAGAGGGACACTGGAGTCGTACCTCCGACTGAGGTAATTCGCTCAGATTGCTGCGAGAACACGCACAGGGTATGAAGGGGAGTTGCTCTGGATAAAAATGTGAGCAAAATAATAAAAATAACTAAGCACTGAGCACCGCAAGCACTTCACACAGTTCGGTTGTTTCCATGCGACGATCTCTCTTTAACAAAACTCCAGTTCTGAGCTGCGCCGATCGAAAGATTTGTCGCTCCTTTCACTCCCTTTAGCACAGGAGCCATCAGGAAAAGTCCCAACGGTTCCGGTTTGCAAGGACAGAAAACAGGATTGTCTGGACCGGCACCAGAACCGCCCCCCCCCCTTGCTCAGGCGGGTTTTCCCTGGCGTGCTTTCCCGCGGTGCGCCAGCCCTCGTTCTCGCCAGTGCGAGCCGGCGTGTCAGAGTCGCGCGCCCGCGGCGCCGCAGTGTCCTGGGGCAGGGCGGAGCAAGGGCTGGGCACCCATGAGCTGAGCTCACAGGCAACAGGCGACTTCAAATCCACCGGCCAAAGCAATAAAAAGCCAACCGCTACAATCCGAAATCATTGTAAAAATCCCAATTGCACTCTGCACGCTGGTTGGCGACGCAGTGACCTCCGGGGCGCGACGGGTGCCCTGCGATCACGAGTGGGAAGGCTGGGACGGTTTTCGGGGGCTCTGCTGCTCCCTGCGGAACCGAGCTGAAGCCGGAGGTCTCTGTCGCAAGCCAGCGGTTGACAAGGACCCCCACAACCCCCAGTAGAGGAGACGCTTGCTGGCATGGCGCCTCGTTGGCGCTCGATGCAGCCCCCTGTTGTGGGAGAACGAACAGCTGGGACACAGGGGGCACGCGTCGGCTGCGCGGCTCGCTGCACCGTAGACGGGGAAGGACAGAGGCGAGCTTCTGCTGCTCGTTTCAATATGGGCGTGAGGCACCCAACTCTGCTCTCCGTGGAGAGGCGTTCCCTGCTGGGGGCGCTGGGGCTGCTGACGAAGATTCTGTAGTGTGCATTATGTTCACACAGGAGAATGGGGAATCCTGTCATTTCAGTACATGGTGGATTCACATGTCACTGCTAGTCTGAAACTGGCCCACCTGAAGGGCTAGAAAGCCACAGTCTGGTGCAGTCATTGGCGTACCATGTGTTACTGGCAAAGAAGTAGGAAGAAAATTAAGGAAGACAAATTGAATAATAATAATAATTCCTTACACTCGTGTAGCGCTTTTCTGGACACTCCACTCAAAGCGCTTTACAGGTAATGGGGATCCCCTCCACCACCACCAGTGTGCAGCCCCACCTGGATGATGCACCAGTCCACTCCCCACACACCAGCTCTCAGTGGGGAGGAGAGCAGAGTTATGAAGCCAGTTCAGAGATGGGGATTATTAGGAGGCCATGATTGGTAAAGGCCAATGGAGTAACACCCCTACTCTTTTCAAGAAACACCCTGGGATTTTTAATGACCACAGAGAGACAGGACTTCGGTTTTAAGTTTCATCCGAAGGACGGCGCCTTTTTCCAGTATAGTGTCCCCGTCACTATACTGGGGCATTAGGACCCACACAGACCGCAGGGTGAGCGCCCGTTTGCCCTTTCTAGTGAGAGTGTGTGGTAGAGAAGGGTGGGAATAGGAATAACTCATAGTGTTGTTGCAAACGCGCCAGTATGACCAGCTACAGCGGACATTGCTTAACCAAGCACAGCGGTGCACTCGGGAACGTGTGTGGTGAAGACAGTGTGATCTCAGTAACAGCACCAACACCGCCGTGCCTGGAGCACTAGTCCCGACTGTCACCGAAAGCACAGAAAAAAGTGCTCTAACAATTTTAACACCGCAGCACAGAGTGCGCCGAGGCAAAGTCAATGTCAGCAGCAGTAACCCTAACAGCAGAGAGGCTGGAGCATTAACTAAACTGCTCCAGGAGTGACACCCTGGCGCCGGTACTAAGTGCGAGTTTGAAACGCGGAGTTTGGCGCCTTCGAAGAGCAGCCCGGGCCCGGGCGGGCGGGTCGCTTGCTCGGGGAGCGGGCAAGACCGGGAGCTGGACGTGCGATGCCGCCGGGGGTGTGGAGGGCCCATCCCGCCGCCCGCTCGCTCGCACACTCTCGGGGGTTCAAAGAGTTTCGGGAGTCGGAGAGCGAGAAGAGGGAGGGGGTGGTCAGAAAGGCGCCCCCTTTGACACTCGTGTTTCCCTGCGGGTCGCTTGTTTTCCTCCCGCCAGGCCGCCCTCTCTCGCCTCACGCCTGAGCCCTCACCTGTCGGCTCCCCGCCTCGGGGGCTGTGCTCCCGGCTGCGTCCGAGCGCCGCTCCCCCTCTCAGCTCCGCGGCGGAGATCCGCACTCGCTCCAGCTCATCCGCCATCTTCGTCTCCATCAACACAAACACACGGCAGCCCGGCGGGGTCAAAACACCTCGCGAGGGCCAGCGGGACAAACAGAAAACGCGTTTTGAAAATCAACCGCCGAAGCCCCTCCGAATACTGCGCTTCAGCCGCCGCCGTTACTATAACAACCTCAGCTGTTGCTTTTTAAAACGCTTGTTAAACAAATAACAAAGACCAATCTACGTACATTTTACTCAAATATGTGTTTTTTTTCTGTCAGAACTTAAGACCTCGATGATCAGTAGGTTAAAAAACAAGTCTCGTTAGCGATCCAATGTCATACATAAACGCTTTTGGAGAACCCGTGAGATCTGGTAGTGTGCTACGGGAGACGTACTCGAAGCTGCCGCAGTGACAACCGCCAGTACAGCAGCAGGGTGGGTGAATCTGAGGTGTCTCGAAGCGGTCTCGGCGATTTCAAAGCGACAGCTCGGGACTAGCAGGCGTTGCAGTTCCGCAGCACCGCCACCAGGGGCCCCCATTCACTGGGTCGTCCCCGCGGGCGGCTCCTTCCGGCGCCGGGCTGTCCTACAGCGAAAGCCCCGCCAGAGGGCGCCAAACCCCCCTCGAGGGAAAAGCGCGATGCGGTATTTCAGCTTGAAAGTTCGTGTTTCCCCGTGCTGCCTACTGCAAACTGTTAAAATAAAAGAAAGTTTGCAGATGAGGAGAGACCATTCAGCCTCTCATGGCTTTCGGGTTGCTGGTGGCTTGTCTCTTGACAGGTCACGGTAGGCAGGTGCAACATAGGGGTGGTATAATTCAGTACAACACAAGGGCATACAATATAATGAATTAATTCCTTACAAATACAGTACATAGCGCTTTTCTGGACACTCCACTCAAAGCGCTTTACAGGTAATGGGGATCCCCTCCACCACCACCAGTGTGCAGCCCCACCTGGATGATGCACCAGTCCTCTCCCCACACACCAGCTCTCAGTGGGGAGGAGAGCAGAGTGATGAAGCCAGTTCAGAGATGGGGGTTATTAGGAGGCCATGATTGGTAAGGGCCAGGGGGAATTTGGCCAGGACACCAGGGTAACACCCCTACTCTTTACAAGACACACCCTGGGATTTTTAATGACCACAGAAAGTCAGGACCTCGGTTTTATGTCTCATCTGAAGGACAGCACCTTTTTACAGTAAAGTGTCCTCTGACTTCTCCTTCGGATCTCGTTTTGTGGATAAAACCTTAAGTTAACTTCTGGACTACGGCTCTGGATCACAGAAAATAATAAAATACACTTCCGGTTGTTGGCTTTTGCCTTCCGACCTTGACCTCGGACTGCGTCTGGGATTTGACCTGGTGATTCCACTTCTGCATAGGATCCATAACTAATCAGTCCCTACATCGGACAGCGTGACACACAAGGATGGGGATCCTTTGTTGACGCTGCTGTACGCAGGGGCGTTTACAGTATTTGAAAACAAGGAATTTTTCAAATGGTGAATTGTTCCTGTGCTGTCGGAGAGGGAGTGACGTGGTGCTGGACCGTGGCTCTGAGCCTGCTGGTGTTCGGCTGGCTGGTGAAGCTGGCACACTCCCTGGCACAGGGTGTGTTCCTGCCCCGCCTGGGACACTCTGCCCCTGGCACAGCAGTCACCATTAAGGACACAGGGCAGGGCAGGGGGCGATAAGACCGTGCCAAGCTGAACATCCTTAAACGGGAACTACAGTCCCAACTCCTCAGACTGATCAGATTATTACATCTCGGAAGCTCAATAAATTCATTGACAGTGTGGAAACTTTTTACACGTTTCGAATTAAGCACAACATTGTGAACTTGACCGTTCAATCTCTGTATGGTATAGGGGCCGTTGTTGTCGGAACGGGAGCGTGCTGTTTGTGCGAATTGTGCCATGAAGCCGCCCTTCCTGCTCACTAGTCCCTGCCATGACTGATGTAATGTGATGCAGAGAGAACAAGTGCAGGGTGTGCAGCAGAAAGGTCACCGCAGAAAGTTTCCCACGTGATCTGTACGCAGAGTTCACAAGTGCCGTTTTTTTGGCAAAACCATCTCAAAGTTGAGAGCAACATTTCTACTGGATTAAAAGAGATGTATGCACAAGCCTGCTTGTTTACACTGTAATAGAGCTGCTTCACCGCAGTAGGTTTTATTGCCTGGTTCTGAATCGCAGAATATGGTGCTGTGCATGCCTGGAAATTTCGTCTAGCTTGTGATGTCAGTTGGAGGTTTTACACGTTACTGTGTACATTTTATTTTTTATCGTGGTTTGAAAGGCCCTCATCGGTGCCCCCGAAACTGTTGCAGTTCCCCTCTGAAAAGGTGTCTGTTCATATGTCCAGCTGAACGTCCGTTGATACAACTTCAGGCGCCGGTGCTGTCGAGCGGGAGCGGATCTCTGGGAGGGCTGTGGGCCGCTCGTGTCCGGCGGATGTGTGCCGGAGGCGGGCAGGTGTCGGGGAGGATGGGCGTGGGAGTGTGTGGGCGGGGAGGGGGAGGTGTCAGACCGGGTGCTCGCTCGCCTGTGGGCGGCAGTGCGTCGATGGCAGCCAGCTGCCCGTGCCGGAGCAGGAGCAGGAGCAGGAGCAGGAGCAGGAGCAGGAGCAGTGGTGCTCTGCTCCCGGCCGGCGAACAGACAAACAGCCGGGAGGAGACAAGCTGGGAGTGCACAATCCCAGCCCCCCCTCCCCCCTCCCCCTGTCTCTGCTCTCTCATTCTCTCTCAAGGTTAGCTGGGGGGAGCAGCAGAACACAGAGATGGTTGGGGGAGGAGGAGGAGGAGGGGGGGGGTCTATGACTCATCTGTGAGTCATGTGGTGTTTGAAGACTGCAGGAGAGAGGGGGCAGGGCCCACACAGCTCCAGCGCTCCAGTGCCGCGCACCGGTGCAGGATTCCTCTCCCTACCTCTGTTCGTTTCGTTCCCCAGCTGAGCCCCCCGCCAGGTCTCCTGGCCCCCCTCCCTGCTCCCGGACACGGGCCCTGCTGGAGCTCTCTCTCCGGCTGAGCTCTGGATCTCCAGCGCTGATACAGGACTGCTCCCGGGTTCGGACTTTTATTTTTTTATCACTTTTTTGGCCATATACAATTTCTTGCATTAGGAATTCATCTTTTCGCAGACCCCAGCTTGCTCTCCAGTAGACACACAGACAGGGAGAGAAGCTGGGGGTCAGAGCGCAGGGTCAGCCATTTATACGGCGCCCCTGGAGCAGCTGGGGTGAAGGGCCTTGCTCAGGGGCCCAGCGGTGTAGGATTCCTCTGCCAGCCACGGGATTCGAACCAGCAACCTTCCAGCTGCAGGCGCAGATCCTGAGCCACAGCGCTCTGCCCAGAAGCAGAACTTATTTCTTTTCAGAACTTTTAGCAGAACGTATTCCTCCAGGTCAGTGTCAAAGACACCGGCTGCAGGGCTGCTGTGTCTGACGAAGCAGCTCTGGCGAGCTGGTAAATCGAAAGACGAACAGACACAGGTGGGAGAGACGGTATCAGACACAGACACGGTGAGCGTCTGCCTGTTCCGCAGAGCTCCAGCCAGCTGCATTCATGACACCTCATGACTCCCCAACTAGGGCCCTTCTGAAACACAGCAAACGGTAGATTGTTGATAGTGATTACAAATCCCGCTGGACCCTTCAAGAGCTGAACGCAAATGTACAAATCCGCCCCAGATACAAAACCAGACCAATTAGCCTGCGATTGAGCACCAATCTGCAAGAGTGACAAATACTACTGCTGGCCTGCATGTCAGCACAGCGCTCAGTCGACAGCACAGCTTAACTGTCTATTGCAACAGAGACATCGCTGATAAATAAGCGCAGTTCAGAAATCAATCATTGCCCCTGATCGATTAGGGAAGAATTTTGGTTGCTGTACGGTCTTGCAGACACGAGCTCATCACGCCACTGCTCTCCTCCACATAACAGAGAGAAGAGAGTGGGAGACGTACAGAGCAGGGCAACACAACCCTTCCAGTAACTGAGAAAATCTTGTATAAAAGTGAGATATCATACAAAGTACAGCACTTTTCCATCTTGACAGCTACGGTGTTTTCCGTCTTAGGCCAGCAGGGGGCAGTATAGATGCAGAAAAGCAGGCATGGATTCTGAAACGGCAGCAAAGGTGAGGAGGTGAGTAACTGCTCTCTGTTTCTTTCCAGTTGTCACCCACTTTGCCATTTTCTCTCTCCTCTGTCTTTATATGTAGCTCCTTTCCCTCTCTTCCTCACTCTCCTCTCTCCTCTCTCTAGGTTCAACTCAAGAAGCTTTATTGGCCTGACCGATGAATTATAGTGTTGCCATAGCATATACAGTACAATCAACACAACATCTACAGACATTTACAATACAGACACATCACAGGACATTTACATACAATTTATGGAGCATTATTGACAGACAGGCTGACTGTTCCTCAGGCTGTGACAGGAGATCACATACTGGGCTGCCAGTTCAGCTGAGTTCCTTCCTCCCTCTCCCAGTAGGATTGGGAGCTGTTGTGATTCTGGCAGCTGTGGTCACTGAGCCTGTCGGCTCTGGGCATCCAGGTCTGCCTGTGTCCAGTTTCTATTGCCAAGCTGTGGTCACTGAGCCTGTCGGCTCTGGGTGTCCAGGTCTGCCTGTGTCCAGTTTCTATGGCCAGGCTGTGGTCACTGAGCCTGTCGGCTTTGGGGGTCCAGGTCTGCCTGTGTCCAGTTTCTATGGTCAGGCTGTGGTCACTGAGCCTGTCCTCTCTGG